ATTGGGTGTAACCTACTAGGCAAGCTTTTTCTTATATCTATAATAGTTGACTAGTGTAAAAACTAAATCATCACAAGATAGAAACGAGAGTTCAAGGCAAAAACATATGTCCAATAGAGCCAGAATTTAGAGCCTGCGAAAAAAAAATCAGAATTGGGAAGAATATTCACTAAGTCAGTCCTTAGGTATGTATCTGTACATGCCCTTAAAATGCATCTAGTGTCTTATTAAGCACGCGGCTAACCTACAAACCAGCAATTTAATTGGTCCTTTTACAAACTCACAAAAATATACTACAGCATAAGTGAACTAAAACAAATCTCATTATTATTAGAAAATAACAGTGAAGAACATTTGAACGAACAGTTGTTTAATTTCTTGCTTCACTTGTAGAAGCCGATTAAGGAAATCGGGTCGACGTGTCGCTTGCAAAATGTACAGTTGATAATTTACTATACATTACTGTAAGTATCCTTATTAATCACATTCACTTTACAATACCAAATGTGTAACTATTGAGCAAAACTAATAAAGTTTGTCCAACGCAAAAGTTACATAGATTGGACTGAAAAAATTATAGTGACATTTAACATTATATGTAGAAGTAGGACTGATAAAGTTAACTATGAAAATTTTGTTACAAAAATAACTTCAACCAATTATTAAACCATCGTGTGTCTATAACAGATACAGATTCATATGAGAAAAACCACTTCAAACAATATTTCTAAGTTAGACTCAAAGGACCACTTTGTATCTGGTCCTTTGGTCCAACAATACAAATATTTCCATTAAACAGCAATTTACATGCAACAATCAAAGAACGGAAGCCACCAAATATTATCATAGCCTTTACCAGCTAAAGGTATCACCAAAGTGAGACAATTTAAAAAGAAAATGTCCCCTAACTATTTGAACGGAGAAGTCATTAGTGGCACCAGTTCTCTAACAAATGTTACAACAAAGAGGTTGCAGAAAAAAAGCCCTTTTTAAACTTTTGTCAGTAAGCTAAGTCTTCCTCTAATGAAACTCTTTTTTGTGTGGCTAACTTAATAATGGCCGCATAGTTGGACAATTACTAAGCAAATGTTGGATAATTTCTTTCGTCGTTTGCATTTTTGTGGTGGAATTTTAAGAATGGGGCTGTTTATCGAGGAAGCAATTACTTACTGCATCGTTACACTAGTCGTGACTGCATAAATACTTCTTGTAATTCTCATATCGGTATTATCGTCATCGTATCAGCTACAAGACTTCTACTGTTGAACATACGACTTTCAGATTAAATTCTCATTATAGTATGTAGATTTTACACGCCAAGAACCCTTAGTGTAACTTAACTTGTCATTCATTGCTATTCTGATATCGACATGATCTTGAGCTAATTCTGTAAAGACCTTCCTAAGCTTCGTTCTTTTACGATCATGACCATGCTTCTTGAGGTCATCTAAAAACCGATCTACATAACAAAAACATATTATGTCTTTACATAAAGAAATACTTTAGAGGTCTCATATTGCTAGTGTAGGTCATAATCCGGATCTAAGCTGGCTCTTTTTAATTCGGAAGGGATTTTTTTAAAGAGATAATATCATCCAATGTCTTCTGCGGTCCGAGTGAGGCGGAACCTACTCCTGGTATTCGATTCGGAGGTCTGGTAACCTGTTTAATTTTCCGTTCCGAAAAGGTTACATTATAAGTTCTACGTAACAGTTGAGCTCAATGCATTACATTATTTATGACCAAAGCCAGACTCTATTGTACAATATCTAAGAAATTTCAAAAAATTAACAATCTAAGCCTACCAGTAATATGTAGGTATCTACCTACTAGGATACTCAATACGTTCCGGTTCACAGTCGCATTTGTCAACCACTAGACCAAACAAGGTAGTCTAAAAATAGCTATTACATAAAACAAAGCACTCACCGAGTTTCAAAGCCCTAGATCCAGTTACGTTTTGCAAATTCCATTATGCATAGTGTGCGATATTCAAAACAATGGAACCATTATGTAAGTTACAAGTTTTGGCCAAATCTGGGTAAACAGAAACCACTACCGTGTCACTTGGTCTACTTTTTAAATAAAGGTATCAACAGCTAGGTAGCATGAATTATGTATTTCTCAATGGTCATGACAAAGTGCGCAGGTAGACAAAAACATTCCACTTTTTTAGATAGGACGGCAAACGAGCCAACGGATCGTCAAATAGTAAGCGATCATCACTACTTATGGATAGTTGAACACATTATTATAAACAGCTTTACAAGTATTTAGCAGTATCTCATGGGCTAATAAAGAGTTGACTGATCCATGCTACCAGTGTAACAAATTATAATACGATAATTTTCTTGATCTCTAAACCAAACGATCTCATAAAGTCAAAAGCTTTTTACAAATCTATATCCACTTGGAAGTAAACCATTTGAACATAGCATAAGGTTGATATTACAAGAACACATTAACAAAAGTGCATTATCACCATAGCCAGTGGGTAGACAGACCAACAACCCGCTGTCTGGCTAATCTGTGCTCGAGACGTGAGCTATTGTCGTGTTGCACGTATATCTCGTGCCGACACGAGATAACTGCACGACAGAAATAGGGATGTAATACTTAATATACTTCCGATGTTTGAAAAGATTCTAAAGTGCTTTAACCCGGAGTAAGTGTGCAACTTATAGCTGATGTGTAACCAATCTTAACCTAAAGACTAGACAGTCTAATGTTTAAGACGAATTTGACCAAGATTGATAACAGCCTGAACTACCCCACAATCGAATGAGAGTACATAGGCAACATTAATCGTCAGCGTTCTAAGAGATGAAACATTACGCTGCAAAATGAAAGAATAAGTACGAAGTGAAAACTTACAATTTCATCTCAGTGACTGTTATTACGTACAAAGATTAAATAATTGTTGATCTAACAAACACCCATACCCACAAACCCAGGGTTCGCAAAAATTGAAAAGAACGCCCATCCTCATATTTTGTCCAACCCTAGACAAGTTGGAGACGGTTACCGGCAGAGATGTATCTAGGAAGACGGAAATGTATTACAACATGATTTAGGTAGAGCCAGCCTACATCTAAGTCGACGGACAAATTGCTTTTCAAATTACATATTTCTTGTGTAACACTGTAACGAATTCGAAGCAAATTGTAAATAGATATCAAAATCGAAAGAAGACAATCATTCACTACACCTTCTATTTTCCGAAACAACGAAGAAGAACTACTTTACAATGAACTTTTCAGTAATCTTTTTAATCTAGTAACATAACGAACCAACAGCAAGTCACTTTTTCCGAGTTATATGTACATACATTCTATGATTATTTAGACACCACTGACAAACGGTGAAGGAAAACATCGTGAGGAAACCTGAGCTTATAACTTCTAATTATAAGTTTGAAATCACCAAACCGCATTGAGCATGCGTGGTGATTAATGCTTAAAATCTTCTCCGTGTGAGAAGAGGCTTTGCTCAGCATTTATAGGCTGTTGATTTGATGTGTGACCCACTGCTTCTATCATTCAGCGGCACTTGCAACCACTTGCCCTACGAGACTAATCTCTAATCAGTGGCGTAACTACAGGTTGGCAAGTCGTCAAAATGCTCGCCCCCAGCCGAAAGGGGCCCTTGTTCAGAAGTACTCACCTGAATGTTTTAGGGCACGTACACAAAACTACAATACGATGTGATGCTAATTCACAACGCAAAAATTTACGATGCGAATTGCTGTGATGCGATTACGTGCAACAAGGCGTCTCCCATTTCTTCGACGACCGTCAACCGTACTAAACGTATTTTAAATTGAAAACTAGGTCGTGACATGGATCATAAAAATAAGTGTGCACTTCTGTTGCTTAGGAGATATAGGAAAAAGAAACAAAGAAGATTTTGGGAATATAAGATTTTGATGCGCGATGCGAATCAAGTTTAGTCTAGTCTAGTCTAGTCAAGTCGCTCGCACATTTTTGCGATGCGACGTTGCATCGCAGTTTTGTGTACGAGCCCTTAATAGGCAAAGGGAGCTCATCCAATATACCACGGGTCTCGATTATTATATTTACGCCTCATCTAATCATCAATCCCTCACTTCTAATCCATTAGAAATGACACCAAATTGACAAGCAAATCTATAGCGTCTTCAACCCACTCACTGATTGCTTTTTATACATTACTTTATCGTCTATCTATATTACAAATAGAATCGTTAATTAATCAAGTCGGCTGTTAATCGAAGCAATAGAAATAAACGTTAATCTTGTACAAACAGCTGGAGAAAATATTTAAATGATGCAGGATATAAAGGAATAATTGTTTATCAATGTCTGTCTATGTAAACCTTCTTGCAGTGATTTAAATGTAAATTCGTTTAGTTTGGTTGTACTGAGGTATGTTATCTGGTTGATATTAATTATTGAACTGCCTCGTTGGCATAGGGTTTCGGGTTCGATTCCCGGGTCAAGCAAAGTTGGTTGGTTGGTTGGTTTGGTTTTTAAAAATCTCAGTAGTAGCACGGAGTCTGGAAATGTGCCCGGTATATGGCAATAGGCTCACCCCCTATTACATGGGACTCATAACATAAATAGTGAAAAGTGGGGGTTATCCTTTCGGGGATAAAAAGCGTAATGTTATGTTATGTTAATTATTGAAATAATCTTAGGTGAAGAAGTGGTCATATTTCTTTTCATTGTGATAAGAAAATTTTGTTCAGATTGATTGTTAGGTAGGTAAAAAGCGGAATATTAATAAATTCTTATTCATGGATTAAAATGAAATAGTGTATTGTACGATTTCCATTAGTGTGTTTGTATCTACAGAAAAACATCCTAACAAGGAGCTCTTGTTCCTACACCCTATAATAATTTTAGCTTGATTGTAAAAGGGGCAACAATATTGCTACCCTCTGGGCAAATGTTCTAGTTTGTGTTTGTGGGGTTTATTAAGAATTATTATAAAATTTTAATAAAATAAAAAACAAAACTTACAGCTTCGAAAATCAAACAGCAGATACAATTTTCTCAGTAACAAATAAAAACGCAAACCACAAAATTTCAGTTACCAAAATGTACGACAACACTGAACATACGCGAGTACGATACACCGCGGACGCGAACGTGCGCGTTAACGTTGCTCTGAGTCCGCGCTCCGTCCCGACTCGATTACAACTGAAAGGCTTTGGAGCTTTCCGACTCGATACAGCCTTAGTAACACTGCGTATACTGATAGCAATAGCCATTGCTTGCTTACGGTTAATGACCAGTATCAGTAACTTATCTGGTTGTTAGATCAGGGTAGTAAAGATAGAATTTTGAAGTTTTGTATGTAGCTTATGAACAGATTATGTATAGAGTGATGACTTATTATCGATAAACAATTGAAGCAAGTGAAACAAGTGATATGACAAATGACTGTTTGTTAGAGCTTACCGATTTTATTAATGCACTTGTTTCCTTTAGGTATTAGTTTAATCATATTTTATTTATAAGTTTTAGGGGAAAGTGTGTAGTAGATGTTGTTTTATTTTAATTTTTTGTTCATCAATATGACAGCTGTTTACAAAAATCAAAGCAATAGATATTGATTAATAGCGATTAAGATTGAATATGTAATACAAGATTTACTATATTTTAAAACAAATAATGATAATAATATATTAGAAATAATGGTTTAACTTTTTATAAAAATAACTTTGTCAACTTTTTGATTTTTATTTTATTTTTAACTAACTGAAGCCCGCAGCTTAACTCGCATTGATTACGGACTTAGTGACTAACTATGTCAACGTCAAATATCAACTCCTATTTTCAATCGGATTCGTTTCTAGATACAGCTCCTCCAACTCCAAGACTCCATACTCCAACTGCAAGTCACAAATTTCTGCCTACAAACTTCGACCAATATAGGATTGAGTAAAATTTCCGGAACTCTTGTAAAACTTATTTATATTGTTTTAAATTTTATTTTTAATTAAAGCTACTAAGATCCTTTAAACTAAAATAAACTTAAGTTTTTTTAGTTTAATTAATCTGGTAACTAGTTACTAGTTAGAAACAGACAGATTAATCACTTGGGAGATTTTGGAATGAAGTTATCGTAAGTTCTGGGTCCCTAAGATTGCCCTAGTCCAGTAGTCCCGTCTGGTCTACAAAGTTAAAATGTATACTTTCTTAAAATACTTTCTTCCATTACATCGTGATGTTAATTAAAAATGCCTGAAATATTGAGCTTAATAATCAATTACAAATCTTACCTAATCAACCCATTAAAACTAGCAATCAAAGAATTAGTCTCAATCTCAACAAAATTAACGTTTAAAATATAAATTTAAAAACTTACACAACGAAATAAGAACACAAATCGAAAACCTAAAAGCTAACAAAAGACTTAAAAAAAACAAATCTACAACTAGAGCAGAACTAATAACAAATAATAATAAAAGAAAAAACAGAACAAAAAATCCGTAGAGCTGTCTTAGTTTCCGGTTATCTTTATCAAAGAATGATGTAAGCTAGTTTATGGTGCATAGTGCCCATGACTCGATATACCGTTAAACCAAGTTGATCGACCGCTACTGTCTAATAAAAACTACTATACGAACTCTACTACGATTTCTCGATTTTGAATCGTTATGAATCGGATTATTCGGATTCTTTATTCGATTTGATAGGATTTTATGTTGTAAATAAATATCGGTATCTTCTCCAGTGAAGAGACTGTGCTTTGGAATTTAAAGAAATACGTAAAAATATGTCCATGTGCAATCCTTAACTAGGCTTTTTATAATATCAAGGGAGAGCCATACTTCAGCAGGAATGGGTCGGCTCGACCGGAGTGATACCACGGCCTCACAGAAAACCGACGTGAAGCAACGCTTGCAACAATGACACCGCGTGCCGATTGCTTCTCATCAGGTGATATGTACATGAACTCGTTTCCGGCTTACCCCATAAAAAAACCAAAACATTGTCACTTATTGTCACTTACTTATAACTTAGAACAATTTTGTCTTATCCATAATAAATAGATTAATTTAACCCAGAACAATAACGACAAGTCATTTTTTGCTACGTCCTAAACTACGCGAAAGAACCACAGAATCTCAAAAAATATACTTCTACAAATCCCTACAAAAGCTGGGAAAAATAAACACGACGCAATATTACGTAGATATATCTCCAATCCAAACACTCAATTAAAGAACAACGTAACTTAACTCATCAAAATTTCAACCGCCACCCGTTTATCGCCTACATTCAAATTGTGAGGGGAATACACAAAATACACAAACACATTACACACTATTGTTTAATATGCGTTTAGTATCTGTTACCTCAGTTTCCGTAACTCGTTTCTACCTGAGCTGCGCTTGCGTTTCTCCAAAGACGTTTGTTCTGACATAGATAACGTCAAATGTTAGTAGTGGACTGTTGGATAGAATTTGATAAGAGTACGACTATGACTATGAACTTTGTTGGTTACGTACGTGACTGTGTTTTTTAGATAAAGTTTGTTTAATCTGTTTTTAAGATGTAAGCCGATGGAGGAGGATTTTAAGCATTACAGTTTACCTACGTTCAACCACCAAGGAGTTTACTTCATCATTTCTAGATCAAGAGACTCCATGATAATTTTCATGTTAAAACAAAAAAGACTAAAACTATTTAATTATTAGTTTTTCAGCTTATTCGCGTTATAATTTGACGAGGAACTCGACTAGTTTCAAGCCATGCTAGAGGCTCATATTCATGAGCAGCATTCCACGGCCCGCCACGCTAAATCGTCAAATAATTACGTGAGTGAGTCGAAAAACATAAAAATTAATTTAGTTTGTCTCACGAAAGTTATAAGGATAACGAATTTTAAAAAGCACCTCATCTTTTTGGCCCAACCCGCAATCTTGCTTGTGATTTCTGTCTATCCCTTTAAACTCAAATTACCTGTAATTTTTATAGAACATCATTATTAGCTTCACTATGCTTACATTAAGATACCTAGTAAATACATGTGCACACACACACACGACATATATTCGTCTTTCAAAGCGAGTTCAAGTAGTTAACAAATAATTATGCATTCTTGGACAAAAACATATACAGGCATGCAATTTTTCCACTGCAGTATCTAAATAAAATCTAGTAAAATCAGTAAGTACTATTTTTATGTTTTCAATATTCAAATTCATATTAGGTATATATCATTCGTAAGATCAGATGATTTTCAAGATAGTACTAAGAATTCCAAAGTCACCCTATCATCGGCTGGACCACCGAAACTCAAACTCAAACTCAAAAGCATTTATTTAAATTAAACCATAATTGGGTACTTTTGAAACGTCAACAAATATGAAATATATAATAGTCTGTCAGTCTCTCCGTCAGTGAAGCTAGGCGCTCGTTCCAAAATGTCGATTCGAGTGGAGAAGAACGAGCAAGAAACTCCATTCGTTACTCTTTTAAAAAAAGTCTGTTTTACATTACTCTGATACATATTCCAATATTGTACACACATGTGAAAATAATGTAAAAACATACCTGACGCAACATACAAATAACAGAACATACTAAAATAGAAAAAAAAACAAAACCAAGAGGAAAATAAATATCTTAAGTCTGACATGGTCCTCACATATGTATACTGACAATCCATATAAAATAGTGCTTCTATACAAGAAAAAAATAAAAAATAAACTCTTGTTTAAATAAAGAAAGAAGTTATCATTATAAGTCACCCGCTAAGTTATCATTATATAATTAAACAAATAATATGTAGATGTAGTGGAAAGAGTTGCATAAAGAACATAAATTAAGCCCTTTATTTGAATTTTAAATTAGACATGAGATTGATATACGATAAAAATAGTTAACACCTTATCGGAAGAAACATACTGCATACATAGTAAATTAAAGTTCTTCGTTTTTAGAGCATGAATACTAACATAATAACTATGTATAGTAAGTTAGTGGGTTATATTACCACAGTAACAAGTTACACCCATCACATCAAAATACATTCGTGTGGTGATTTATGGGATAAACTAAAAACTCAAGAAAAGAACTCGGGCAAAGTATTAATGGGTTTTTAAAAAATCCTCAGTAGTAGCACGGAGTCTGGAATTGTGCCCGGTATATAGCAATAGGCTCACTCCCTATTACATGGGACTCATAACATAAATAGTGAAAAGTGGGTGTTACATTGTACAGTGACATAATGAACACCTCTGCCTACCCCTTCGGGGGTAAAAGGCGTGATGTTATGATGTTATGTCAAAAGCATTTATTTCAATTAAACCATAATGTGGTACTTTTGAAACATCAATAAATATAAAATAAATAATAGTCTGTCAGCCTGTCTGTCAGTAAAGCTAGGCTAGTTCCAATATGTAGATTCGAGTGGAGAAGAACGAGAAAGAAACTCCATTCGTTACTCTTTTTAAAAAGTATGTTTTATAAACTCTATAGGAGGTGCAAACTAATACACTGATAGCCGCCGGTTTTCTAAAAGGCTGTGGTATGGTATCATTTCTACTGAGTCTGTCTTTTCTTACCGATTGTGGCCAATCAGACTGAGCTTTGCAAACTTTGCATTAACTACACTTAATTTTAAGGAATTTAAACAAAGAGAATGAATCTAATTTCTTCTGCTATCCCATAAATATTTACAAATGCAATTTACATTAAAAAACTAATACTTGTAAACAAGCAGTTGACTACAATAAAAACTGGTCTACATCAGCCATGCCTCACTTCGTCCAAGTGTAATGGCATTGGAATGGTATTAGTATTGAGGAAACTATTATACGGATCATCATCGTAAACATTTGTTTCATCAAGATATACAAAACCTGTTTATCATGGTCTTGTTTTGTATGATATTTCAGCCCATCCGACGGTCAGATTATACTGGTTTATTTAGGTTGATGTGTGACCGCGTGTATCTAGCTACTGGAGCCAGTTACTAGCATTGTGTAAACGCTCAATAACTGGTACGAGTACAAGAAACTTGTCGACAATTCGCGCCATAAATGTGCAAAGCATGGTGCTGCGTAATGTAAAATGGTCTCGGTATAATTTTATCGATGCCCTCGCCGATTTATAACGGTTTTGTCCACTAGACGTTATTAATTAAATATTCTTGAATAATTAGGTGATTAGGTATAGGTTTCAGGCAAGGCGTTTAATACCTTTACTAGTTCAGAGGTTAAGCAAAATCTACCGGCAGTATGGCCTAAACCTTAATGTTAATGATTCAAAGTAACGTTGTGTTTTGTTTTTCTTTTATATGTTTAGCACACTGTGCAAAGGTTAATCTACTGGCTACAGTGTCATAGCTGTGTCATTCTCATTAGTCTCACAGTAACTGTCCAGTCAAAGTCAAAGTCAAAATCATTTATTTCAATTAGACCAGGAAGGCACTTTTGAACGTCAGCAGTAAAAATTTAAAAGTGAAGCTATTTGCTCATTCCAAGGTGTAAGTCAAAGTCAAAGTCAAAGTCAAAGCATTTATTTCAATTAAACCATAGTTTGGTACTTTTGAAACGTCAACAAATACAAAATAAATAATAGTCTGTCATTCAGTCCGTCAGTGAAGCTAGGTGAAGCTAGGTGCTCATTCCAAAACGTAGATTCGAATGGAGAAGAACGAGCAAGAAACTCCATTCGTTACTCTTTTAAAAAAGTATGTTCTACAATGTCTCTGATACATATATCTATATGTATCAGAGTGGATAGGAATCTTCCTATGGAGAAGAACGAGCAAGAAACTCCATTGAAACAATGATGCGACTGAGAATTTCGAAATCAAAAATCCCAAAATCTTCATCAGTAACAAGGTTCTTATTACAGGAGCCATAACCTCAATAAAGACCAATCAGAAAATTCTGTCACACAAGCAGTTGGCACCTCTTTGAACGTTATCTTTGGAATTATAATAGAGGTAGTGTGACTTTAGCCTTATGTAAGGCTATGACAAGTTGCTCAACGCTAACCGCATTGAATTTGATATGCGACCGATTTGGCAATAATGATCCGAGATGTTGTTATTCATAGCAAATAATGTTTTATTCACCTGCGTTAAGATTTAGAATTCAATACTAGTTTTTTATGAACTTACGGCATTTGGTTTACCGATTAGTCAGCATGCTTAGGCCTTTGTGTTAAACTGCAGTGTCTTGAATTGTAAACTAAATACAAAAAGATATATTGGTTAGGTATTTCTGAGTCACGACGGAGCTTATCGAAACCGAAATATATGGGTCAATATGTCAACTGAATCATTAATAAGTTGTCAATCAAAATGTGTGGGAGACCCATATTTAGTCACAAATGGGCCGGCTAGACCGGAGTGATACCACGGCCTCACAGAAAACCGACGTGAAGCAACACTTGCGTTGTGTTTCGTCGTGTGAGTGAGGTTACCGGAGGCCCAATTACCCTCCCCTTCCTCAATCTCCCCAATCCCTGAATACCCAACGATCCTCAAACTCCTAATCCCCAAAAACCGGTCACGCACTTGTAACGCCTCTGGTGTTCCAGGTGTCCATAGGCGACGCCGATTGCTTACCATCAGGTGATTTGCTCGTTTACCGGGTTATAACACAAAAAAAAATTATATCTATCTAATGTACGACTGCACTATGCAGGTCTCAATAACACAGTGTAAGTTTTAAGCTAAGTTATCAATAAAAAAGAGTATTTAAAGCCACTTATTAAGGAAAAAGAAACAGTAAGTTTGCAAAGTTATCGGGATGGTAGCTGCTTTGCAAACGCTTAAATAAAATATTAATGTGTGGTAAGTTCAGTTCCCGTACGGAAAAACTCCGCAAATTATTGTTTTGGGTCTAAATAAGATGGCGTTATGACTTGAAACTAATAGAGCTTTTCTCAGTCATTTCACGTGAGAAAGCCGTTTTTTTTGTAACTAACTTCTGCTCGCGACTTCATACGCGCAATCCCCCATAAGATTTTCAGGATTTTTTTTCTATCATAAGAACCTTCTCTTGACAATAATAAACACTACAAAAAAAATCATTCAAATCGGTCCAGCCATTCTCAAGTTATGGCTTGACTACGGAAAACGGGTTTAATTTTTATATACATTTAAATATACCTAGATTAATTTATTTTGGGACTATTGGGACTGAGTGTGCTTTATGTAGGTAGGTACTATACACATTATTGCACACACTAGCGATGTCAACACATCCGCGATACATTAATCTATACACATTTACGGCGGCTACTCGAGCAACTAGGCAGTTACGATTTTCGTACCTACATTAACTACATAACATACCAATTAAAAAAATACATTAGAAATATATAACATAGATTTATTATTAACTTGAGTATGTACAATTCGTAACACAAAATTTATTGCACAAACTAATAAGGTCTAGCAATTTACAGTTCAGTTATGTATTTGTACATATAACTGTAAATAAACAACGAATAATTAAACGAAACTTAGTTATAGGGGATATTTTTTTGGCGAATCTCCTACAAAAACATTAACAACTCAAAAATATACATAACCAATCATGGCAAGTAACCTGACTGTCGAGCAAGAAGTTTCGATTTCGATACCCGTATTGGGAAAGCTAAGTATAAAGTTATTACGCACATAACATTACTAGAGGGGTAATAGGTACGTGTGCATGTTCGCCTACTGTAGATTAAAAGTAGATTAAAAAAAATATAATAATCAATACAATTGTAAGTGCCTACACCTAATCTCATAGCAACACTCAGCCTCTATCGAATATAACGGTTATTGACATCGCAACACCATCAGAAGATAGATATCTGAACAACGGCGGTCTCGCCTCTACAAACACATTAGCATACAATGAAATCGTTAACCAACGAGTATTTTCTATGTAACTGCTCGGAATGTCCCATACTTAAAGGTTCAATACACGTCTTCAAGATTTTTTCAATCATTTCCGCTTATGATTACTGAGATGGTTTCTTCTTAGTGATGTTTAATTGAGGTTCAGTGGATACAAATTACAGAAAAAGTTGTAATTACATTTAGAGCATTTTATTGCAATACCTTGGTTTGAATGGATTCTTTATTCATTCTTTGAGTTTAACTCGTCGAGTACCGGTTTTGTAGACACAATTATAGAACAATAGGTCGCGGTCACCGGTGACCGCTTGGTGTTTGACAGTTTAAAAACAGTAATTTTCGTTTTATATAATAGTTTAGTTGTAGTTATTTTTAAGTTGTAAATATTGTAGTAGTTTTTCAATCAAAGCTGAAAGCATAGAAGTTCATCTAACCATTTTTGGAATGGATAGCAAGCAACGGGTATTTTTAGAGTTAATAGTTGCATATTTCGCGTTGTAATCAACTATTATTCTTATTTCTGTTTTTACAAAATCTGCTTCATAAACCAACTTCTTGCGATACGTTCAGAAATCCTATCCTATCGATAATCGAACAGCTGTTTTGTTTTTGTAATCTGTGCTCTCACCTAACGTCAAAGTAATGTCAGTCAAAAGCAGTGTGTCATACACCTGTCATTTGTATGGTGTTTTGGCAGTTTCCTACTCGTTAAAACTTTTAGAAAAAAAGAGGAAAGTGTTCAAAATAAACGTTTATACAAAGTTTAAATGACGTAATGGATCGAGATAGAAGTAAAGATGCCTCCGAAGGTATTGCAGTAAGTATAACTTTAATAGTATTTTTGTTAAAAATTGTTTTATAAAAAGTGGTATCAGTAATTCATTGTCAGCAATTTGTTATTGAGGTTTTTTTATAAGCCAAGGTCAAGTTCGGAACGGTAAATTAATTCTCTGTTGAGTTCTTGGTGCTCGGGTGTGTCCATACTATTTGCAGTGTAAATAATAATCAAGCAGAGTGTATAGACTTGATACCAATCTATACTTCATGTATATCTTTTAATACATCTTACTTGATCAATTCTGATGATCGGGTCTGTATGATGTCAATTTTAATTTGTTCAACAATAATATCTAACAATGTAAAAAGTATAAAGTTAACCCATCAAATCTATAAGAACACAACAATACTGCATTTTCTTTAACAACTATGTTTTTGTTTTTTAGCCAATGGGAATACAGGCATTAAACGATACAGTACTGAGTAATCAGCCGGAGTCTCGTTATGAATGTCCCGTGTGCCTCAACTGGCTGCGAGACCCCGTCATCACAACTTGCGGACATAAGTTCTGTAAGAGCTGTATCACCTCATGGTTGCAGTAAGTATTTTTAAGTCCCTAAAACCTAATAAATCATAATATACTTTCTTATATTGTTGACTTTGCTCGTTTGTTTTCAAACATGCTGATTACCGGAACTACTGGTTCGATTTCAAATATTATTTTTGTGTTGGATAGTCCATTTATCAAGAAAAGCTATTTATATAGCTAATGAAATAAAATTGAATGTTATAAGTACCTATGTTATAATAGTGAGCCATAATAAAACCATTCTTTTATTACTCAGACATTATCCAATACAGGTTGTATTTAAGAAATTTGTTTAACCACTGGCACTCTGCCAGCATTGTATTGTAAACAAAAGACGTCTTAGAAGGAAATGAAGTGGAAGTTAAACTTGTTAATTAAATGTTATTTTAAGTGTAGAATTTATCAATTTATTGCCCTGTATAAGTGTAATAGCTCCAATATATTTTTGTAGCTATAATCGCACACACTGCAACCAACTTGTTTATTATGTTTCAAAGTTATTTTATTAAAGTACTTTGTTTGTGTTCTTATGGTCTCGTACTAAATTGTTCTCTAACTATTATTTTTCAGGAACAGTGGCCACTGCCCCATAGATAACATAAACCTGAGTATGAAGGTGGATATATTCCCGGACAACTACACTAAAAGGGAGATACAAGAACAGAGAATGAACTGCCCATTTTCTACTAAAGGTAAATATTTCTTTTAAAGAAGCAGCTCCTTCTCCTATGAGATGACCCCTTTGCTAAGCAGTGGGACATTTATAGGCTGATGATGATGAAAGAAGCAGCTTAAGGGCCTTACTTCCAACGCCATTTTAACTGAGGAATAACTTTGAATATTTGACAATTCTTCCATACTAAAAACTGTTGAATGTCATCTTTATAATTAACTGATCGTTGAAAAATCAGCTCTTAACCCATAAATCCCTAAGCAGTCACCGGTGACCACTCTTGACAAACTACATTATAGACCTTATTTCCAATGTTTAGAGACAACTTTTGTTTAACAAATTTAGGGGATGAATTTCAACGGGTTAACTTAGAAAACTCTTTGTAGACACTAGACAGTGGTTTTCTCTATTCGAAAGTAGCTTGAACACCACACTCATGACTAAACTGCCCAACTAATTATGTTAAATTATGACATTGTAGATTTATGTGACATTGAAGACGATCAACAGTAATTTTAATTAATATAAATCACAGAAGCGTAACATCAAATTCTTTAACAAATATAATTTTCATTCCAGGTTGCACAGTAAAAGTAACTCCACTAGACTTGGATGCTCACATAGCATCATGCGAGTACAATCGACCAGAGACTTCAACACAGCCGGAGATCAGAGTGCCATGTTCTTTCCAAGCTGTCGGCTGCAAGGAGACATTTGATAGCCAGGAGGATATGAACCACCATGCGGAGACTGATGTGCAGAAACATATGAGTGTGAGTATAGATTATGATCTTACAAAACCTAAATACCTGCATAACTTTACGCCTTTTAATCCTTCTAGAGGTAAGCAGATATGCAATGTATACTCAAGTTTTCCAGTTATGAAACATTTTACCTAAAAAGCCCTTAAGATTTTTTGCCCAAAGTTACCCGAGATGATGAGATAGTTTCCTCAAACTTCTAATTGATACCTTTTCCGAGACACATTTTTATCATTTAATTATGATAAAAAGAAATATTTCGATCCCCACCATCCACATTGTACCAAATTAATGTACAATGAACCTTGTTCCAAATGCATTAAAGTTTATAATGAAACTACATATCATTTTGTGGCGTGTTCTCTTTATCGAAAATTTGATTAATATTTTCAGCTTCTAATGAATGCGTATTCAGAAATGAAGATCAATAACGACATGTCGAACGCGAGTATTGACGCTAAGGAACAGGAGGCCATGACGCTTTGGGAAGCTCCGGACAAAGACGGTAACCAGGCTGCGGCTCCACCGCTAAATAATACTAGCGCACTTATAAGGTAAGATTACTTTAAACTATTAGATGGTAGGTTGGTCACGTTCAGGTGCTGATGACATTTTCAACTTAGTTCCAAATTCAATAAGGTTGATTGAAAATTGTTTAATGATTCGATAGCTTGAGGTTTGTACCGCTTAGTGTACGAATACATAAAATAAATCAATTACAGATAATTTCATAAGAATTGTATATTAACTCTTCATAAACATAAAGCGATAAACAGCCCCAACAGGTAATTTGATACTACTACAATACAAATTTACTATACCTAATATTTTTTTCCTGCACAAAATCAAAGCCTCCAAAATTAATATGTAATAATAACATTTTCAGGGCGCTATATGAGAGAGTAGTAGTACTGGAACAAAGGAATCGTGAGCAAGATATAGTGATAGCGAACATGTCCAAGCAATTATCAGCCTTCGCTGTAGCCAAGATGAAGCAAAATAACGACATGTTCCTTCGATACTGTATGGGGAACTATGTGTGGAGGATTGACAACTTTAAGGCACGGCTTGATGCTATGTTGAGGGATCATTATAAAATGCTGTACAGTCCTGGGTTCTATACGTCACCTAATGGTTACAGGTAAGATTCGTTTTTAAATTATTTTAATGCTCTTAAATAATAATAAATAATAAAAATCTAAATTATTTTAATGCTGCATAATGTTCTTAGTTCTAAAAGTTTATAAAATACAGATTCGTCTTCACTTCATTTTTTTATTATTTACAATTGGGTACTTCTTTAATGAAACATAAATTATTTTGACTTTTCAATACAATCGTATCTTAAAAAATGACCATACTTTGATTTATTGATTTTATGACGAACTTCATTTTAACAAATAAGTATGCTGTTTGGGGCTAAAAAAAAACGTGACATCACAATACACAATCTCGTACAAAATTTAGAAAACTGTCGTTTTTGAGAGTTCGAAAAAAGTATTGAATTTGACTAGTTGGCAAATACCCAATTGAGCTACATGCTACATTACCATCAGTACCATCACCAACTAAAAACTCAATATCAATAAAAGTTTGGTTACTTAGATATAATTTTAGAATTCAATCAACACTGACATATTCCCGTCTGGAAACGAAATCGAAACCAAAAAAGAAATTACTACAATTACAAATCCCGCTTCATAACTGTATACCGTGTATAGCAGGCACTACCAAAACTCGACCAATAACCAAACCAAAAAGACGCTAATAGAAGTTCTTATTTTTTTTTCATTACAGATTCTGCGTACGCCTAAACATATCACCGCAAAACCCTCATTGCTTCGCACTCCACGTCCATCTAATGAAGACAGAAAACGACGACTGTCTGGACTGGCCGTTCAATGGACGCATTTCCTTCGCAATGATCAACCAGTACAACCCTGAACTGACTCAGAAGGACACCATGATGTCCAACTCCTCACTGATAGCTTTTAGAAAGCCGACAGCAGAGATCTGTGTTCGAGGGTTCGGGTACACAGAATATGCTGTGGTCAGTGACGTCATAAGGAACGGATTTGTCAAAGATGATGTGCTCATATTCAGAGTGGGTATCCGCTGTGTATGACATGAGGAGTAAGTTTTTTGTTTAGTATTTCTCTTTTGTTTTTGTAGGTGTTGTGCAAAATGATCCTCTTTGATGAAAATTGTCATGCAGTATTTGTACTTTATGCCGTAATCGATTGTGAAAGTATATGTGTCTGATCAAGGAACTTGTAAGTCTAAAAACGCTTTTATCTTAATTGTAATAAAGTTGAATATCTACAATTTTTTTCTACTATAAAAATATTTCCGTTGTCATAAAAAGATCATTTTGCACAGTCCTAGAACAGGTATATAGAGGTAGTTATGGGTCATGTAGTTAATTTTACATAAAAGTATTATTTACGAATTTGTAGCAGCTCAAAAGTAGATTCTATGTCAATATTATATACCTATATTGTATAGTCTGTATACATATCTACATTCCGTCCAAGACTTACATAGTGTTTTTGTCCAACTTTTTAATGAACAAAATGCTATATTTATTATATTTAACCTCTCTCGGGTATTTTAATGTACGAGAGGTGCCCATTTTGTAGACATAGATCTGTTATTTATTAAGAATCTCCATTGTATAAACTGTATTAAAGATAATATGTATACATACATATAATGTACTTAATAGTCAGAATATATGAAGAATTATAAATGAAAATAATTCCGTCCATGCCCCAGAGAATTATTAAAATTAAATTATACAAGAAGTTAAATATATAATATTATTATTATAGCATATTATAAACGTAGAATAAGAGTAATTTTAATATGAATAAGTATGTGTGTTAGTGACAATTTGATGTCGGAAAGTCAACCTTAACCCATGGTATGCCGGGAGCGTGGGTGGGTATGTGCGAGACACGAGACATAATGTGTTTCCTAATGTGTCTTATAGGCAGATAAGAAGTTAATACCATGAAGATTCTCTGAAAAAATATCTATGGACTAGTTTAACCTGTGGTATGTCGGAGCGTAGGTATATCTATGTGCGACACAACACAATGCGTTTTCTATTGTGTCTCGAATACCGACATACAAGAGGTTAAGTAAACTTAGATCTGTAAATCAGTATTTTTACGTAATAATAATAATGTACTTACATTCCACTTTGTGATCGTCTGGAAATTATACACGTTTTTAGAATTTTCTAGATTATATTTATTTGACTTCTGACTCTTGGTGCTTAAACGTACCTAAATATATTTTGTTTTATCTGTTATTCAATAAAAATATACACAAAATACGACTTTTTTATTTAATCAATAGGGCTCTTAATAAAAAAGCAATTATAATTGAGAATCGATTTATTGGTATCCATGTCTTACAAACGTAAACTTTTACATGCTAATTGTCTTAATAAAATATAGGAATTTAGCTTACATTTGTAATTATGTCTACAATTAGCTAAATTATAGCCTTATCACATCCAACCATCACAATAATTCTCTCCCAAAATATTAATTTTGTTACTTTCATTGACTCGCACATAATTCTGAATTTTGGCAACACCCACTTTTGATTATACACATACGATTATTAATTTAATTGTGGTAAAAAAGTTACAATAATAATTATTTTTTATACAGAATACAACACTGGGTATAAATCACAAAAGTCACTTTCTTGATGTCTTTTTTTCTAATAGCAACACTGGAGAGATTTTACCGAAATCTTAATTTAAAAAAAATGTGATCTGTGCTGTGACCGACAAGAGCAACTACTCACATCTTTCTCATCCGTAAGTATTAAAAAAAATAAACCATGAATTTTTTTTTTTACAAAGTCCATTAAATTAAACATATTTTGCACGTTTAGTTTACATCATAAACCACCATTCACTTTAAGTAGGTAGTGTAACCTTTCAAACTTCCCAAAGACTATCAAATATAATCCTATTGTTACTCTACGAATCACTATTGATAATAAAAATAATTTTGACACGTTGTATATCATACTATACATAGAAATACTTTACGATATTCTTACAAATATATTACAGTACTGACTACTTCGTTATGGCCTGAAAGCAATACTTTGTTTAGAAAAAAACCAATATTAATTTTTGAAGCCTACTATGTATTTTATTCGAAGATACAGTAAGATTCATATCATAAGGATCTCAGCAGAAATATTACTTCTAATAGACAAAAGGGCTATCATCGAATGACTTGGCGAGAGGGAGTGTCGGACTGTTACTGACTAAAAACCACCTCGTTCCTACTCCTGCACTTCGAGCCGAAGCCCCGGTAAACTGTCAAGTCCTCCGCGGCTCCGTATCGGTATCAGCCCTATTGGGCCATCTGTGGTGGTCTGACGGTTCTTTGAGGCACGCGCGGGAGTAGATACCCCTACAAACTTACTAGCAGTATAAAGATTTAGTATTCATAATTTAATATAATACAGAATCGAAACGTTACTGTCCATGCGTGGTTTTGTATTTAATTAAGGATTAAAAAAAATTACCATAAACAAATATAATAAACGGAACAAAATTATAAAAAGCATATTACTTGCTCAGATCCTTTATCGCAAGTCTAACTTAAATACCAACATAATAAAGATACAAAATGCATTTCAATAGTTTCAATAACTATATCCAACTGTACCTTTTACATACACAATTGTATAAAATACTAATACATAAAGTACTTAGTAATTGTTTTATAATAACAATCGTGAGACATACTAAATTAACTAAAAATCACGGATTACGTGAAAATGCTGAGAAAATCTCAAAATCATGAGCAGTGTGCGCGGTCGCGGCGATGTCGCGCAGCCTACTTTCTAAGAACCCCTCTGTGTTTCGAAACTAGTAGAGCTATTCTCAGTATTTTCACATGAGTTCCCCGCGATTTTTAGTTTATGTAGTAATTATTATGTAATGTGTGTTCTATGGAAATCTCTGTTCTAAATTTTCTAAGTACTAACACAACTCTATCACACTGTTATGGTAACTTAAGCTAATCTCGTCAAGTTATTAATAACTTAAAGTAATTAAACAGTAAAAGAGCTATTGTGTAGAACTTAGAATAATATTCAAAGTACTGTAACATGCTATATTTACTATGAACCTCGCGCACTTGAGTCTGAAGAAAGGGACTGGTGACACTGGAAAAAGGACTTTATTTTGTAAACAGAAGTGCTCAAATTTACTTAAAGTAATATCTTGTGTAAAAAATAGTTGTAGTTGATCTATGCGTGGTAAGCACTCTACGTGTAGTTACTTACTTATGACTTATAAATATAAAAAACCAATTTCAAATTCCTATGTATAAGAGTATGACTAATTGAGAAAAAATCAATCAAATCGTAAATAACATAACGTAATTATTACTAACAAATAAAATATTGCCAATTATTGCAAATCATAATTTGAAATAAATATTTAAAAACGCCAATAATAATACAACGTAATATAAAATATTTTATACATTAATTTTCAAATATATCTACAAAATGTAAACGAACTCAAAACATTTTAGTATAATTTTTGGGAGTTTCATACTCGCACACTCATTCGCTAATCTAGGTAATTTCATATAAAAAGTTTTTTTTATTTCAAACTACCCATAACACTATCTTATCAAAATATATTTATTAACACTGCTAATAGATCTATGAATCTCCACTTTTACTTATTTCAACTCCTGCGCATATAATGTCAGAATACTAAAACGCTACTCAATTTTAAGCCGTGCTTACGTATAGTTCTATCTCTACAAATTATCTGTAAAATGACAGAGATGGCACGATATTTGAGCACGACTTAAAATTGAGTAACGTTTCATTATTCCGGCATAAGCCTCTTTATTTAATATTTTTTATAGATGAGGCCGTGTCGGACGTCATATTCAACGCCGTGTCGGACAACGATGACCGACGCACGCTAGCGCAGGATTCCCAGTTCAGATTCACAGTTTTTGTCGGCAGTTAAATGCTTAACGCATCATGGTACATGATCAACACCGGACACCCACGACACCAGAGAAGATACAAGTGTGTTGCGACCTTTAAAGTTTTGCCATAGAAATATTAGCAGTGTTAAAAACTACTACAGTACTAATTTAACCATCAATTTAAATAGATAAGTAAGTACTAAGATGTTAAAAATGTTGATTTCAAAATTATGGTGTCCCTTCGTCCAGCATACTCACCATGGAATCCTGATATTTCATGAATGTCAAAAAACTGTTCTGAAATAGTGCTAAATAGTGCCCAAAGGAAAAAAATAGTGCTCTTGTACTTGCGAAGTTATAGCCATAGTTCGATGAGTATGCTGGACGAAGGTTTCGCCCAGCATACTCACCTCCGTCCGGAGAATCTGTATACGCTTCAAACATAATTCATACTTCAAAAAATAGTTCCCAAATAGTGCCAAACGGTGCCCAAAAAGAAAAAACAGTGCTCGAATAACTTCGGAGTTATAGGCTTCGTTCAGTGAGTATGCTGGGCGTAGGTTCTACGCCCAGCATACTCACCTCAGTGCGCGAATATCGAACGAGCTATAGGTACAATTTACGTCTCAAAAAATTGTGCTTGAAATAGTGCCCAATATCAGTCCAATTTTTGCTTGACTTTTGAC